CCCCCCACACACACACATCGTTCCACCGTCCCTGCAAAAAACTGATATTGTTTATTCAATTTTCAGCGGCATTGTCTCTTTGCCTATTTCTACCAAAAATTGCGACGATTAACTGAGCTGCTGAACATTGACTATCTCACGAGAGAAACAAACCTTAGTGCATTTCACATAACTGCCAAATACAGCTACGTGCAATAGTGTATAACCCTCCTTGATCACCGCGTCCACACTGGCACCATGGTTAAGCAACAGTTGTAAGATATCATCATGACCGCGAATTGCAGGGTGGTGCAATGGTGTATTACCATCCTTGTTCACCGCGTTCACACTGGCACCATGGTTAAGCAACAGTTGTAAGATATCAACATCACCGCGAATTGCAGGGTGGTGCAATGGTGTATCACCATCATTGTCCACCGCGTCCACACTGGCACCATGGTTAAGCAACAGTTGTAAGATATCAACATGACCGGAGATTGCAGCTTTGTGCAATGGTGTATCACCATCATTGTCCACCGCGTTCACACTGGCACCATGGTTAAGCAACAGTTGTAAGATATCATCATGACCGTAAGATGCAGCTTTGTGCAATGGTGTATAACCCTCCTTGTCCACCGCGTTCACACTGGCACCATGGTTAAGCAACAGTTGTAAGATATCATCATGACGCTGAGATGCAGCTTTGTGTAATGGTGTATCACCATCATTGTCCACCGCGTCCACACTGGCACCATGGTTAAGCAACAGTTGTAAGATATCAACATGACCGTGAGATGCAGCTTTGTGCAATGGTGTATCACCATCATTGTCCACCGCGTTCACACTGGCACCATGGTTAAGCAACAGTTGTAAGATATCAACATCACCGCGAATTGCAGCGTGGTGCAATGGTGTATTACCATCCTTGTTCACCGCGTTCACACTGGCACCATGGTTAAGCAACAGTTGTAAGATATCATCATGACCATCTGCAGCGTAGTGCAATGGTGTATCACTCTCATTGTCCACCGTGTTCACACTGGCACCATGGTTAAGCAACAGTTGTAAGATATCAACATCACCGCGAATTGCAGGGTGGTGCAATGGTGTATTACCATCCTTGTTCACCGCGTTCACACTGGCACCATGGTTAAGCAACAGTTGTAAGATATCAACATGACCGTGAGATGCAGCTTTGTGCAATGGTGTATCACCATCATTGTCCACCGCGTTCACACTGGCACCATGGTTAAGCAACAGTTGTAAGATATCAACATGACCGTAAGATGCAGCTTTGTGCAATGGTGTATAACCCTAGAGACCGCCACGTTGATTCAACATGTTGATGATATCCGAGTCTTTTTGCAAGATCTCTTGTACTTTGCGAAGATTCCTGTTTGCACAAGCATCATGTAGAGATTCATCTTGTTTTGTTGACATTCCTTGGTTTAAACCTTGTTAGAATTTACCATCATATAGTTACATTTGCAGAAGCATCCTCTGAAAAGTTCCTACAGAAACAGAGCTAGTAATAAGTAGGGATGTGCCAGAGCCAGATACCGGTATCCGGCAAAATATAGGCATCCGTCACCATATAGTAAAATAGACTTTTATCACAACCCCAGACATCTGTTATAAAATTAATACACTTTGAATAAATTAGTTCGTTTTTATAATTTGTTTAAAATAATAAAAAACCTGGTTTCCTGGGGTAACATTTCAAGCCGGCCTAAGGATAAAATCCTATTCAAACACAGCAAGCGATTTATACACGACAAAAATTTCAGCCCAGGATCAGTTTTAGCCCTGTTTCAGTCCTTTTATGAGTAGCTTTATTTTTGTCTGTACTATTTCTAATGCAGTCACAGTTTCACACAAGTCAAATAATGTAAATAATCGATTAAGCGCCTCGGCACTTATTTAGATTCTGCCAGTTAAGGTCCATGTACACACCAGACGCGATTCGACAACGCGACGCGATTTTTCAGTTTTTGAAAGTTAATAAAACAGCCAATGAGAGCAAATTTTGAAAGATATGTAAAACAAATAACTGAAATTATTTATTTAAAAAATTCCTGGTTTCTGATTGGCTAACAGCCAACTGTGAAATTGTCATATCAACTCAATGGCTAACCAAATCTGGATTTTTCACATTCATAATAGCAAAATGACGTCAAAGAGTCAATATGAAAAAAATTTGGACGCGTTTGCGCCATATTACTATGACGACGAGAATCATATTGACTCGCTGACGCCATCGATATGACGACGACGGCTGCAGAAGGACTAAAGAATTGTTTTTTTCTTAATACAAGTAAAATACCAATGGCTTCTTCCACTGAAAGGTTCGCCAACCTTGGCGAAGCCGAAATTCAAAAATTACTGGAAGATAAAGATTCGTTAAATACAAAAAGATAAACAAAAGCTTCTAGAATAGGTAAGAACACTTTTCCTAATTCTTGTTTGGCTGATTATTAACGCGGGCGAACAAATGGATGACCGTTTGTTTTGAATTTTTTAAATAAATAATAAAACAATTATTGAATTCGGTTTTCACACAATATGAAGAATTATCAAGCCCTCAGTTTGCCGTTATCAACCTCAGCCTTCGGCTTCGGTTGATAACGGCAAACTTCGGGCTTGATAATTCTTCATATCGTGTTCAACCTCATTCAATAATTGTTAAATGTTATAGCGCTTCTAAGTATTTGGAAAATTTAAGCTAGGATCAAAGTTATCGGTCAGTGAAAATCGAAAAATCGCGTCGCGTTGTCGAGGATCGCGTCCGGTGTGTCTGGACGATGCGTCACTTATTCAAGAGCAGCGCTTACTGGAAGCGCCACTAATTCCAAAAGAGGGGGGAACATGTATTGAATATATAGTGAATAAAGGAAGCACATACTAGATATAGCCAATTTAGTAAATAAAATCAAGGAGCCAATTTGAAAGCGAGGCTTAATAAACTATTTTCGGCAAAGGTGCAAGCACTTACTCAAGAGCGCCGCTTATTCGGTGAGTGGCGTTTAATCGACCATTTCTAGTAAACAACACTTTAAATTCTTCACAGAAGCAAAATAGCTTTCTTTTGAGACTTGATTGTTCAGCCCGGAGGTGAGATTTCATCCTTGGTTTGAGCTGAAATTTGAACTCATGTAATCGTGAAACAATTTCAGCTCGGTTAAACTGGGCTAAAGTTAAGCCCAGGCTGAAAACTCTCCATATAATAAATCAGCTCCTTGCTTTAATATAGCACAATTAGAAACAAATTTTATAATTTTAAAAGTAGAACTGATTAGGGATGAGCCAATTAATCGGTACGGCCGATAAATCGGTCGATATTTGGCGTTTTCAAAATAATCGGTATAATCGGCCGATTATTTTTTATAATCGGCTATTTGCCGATATTCGCAATTTTTTAGTTTCTTAAGAAAAATAACTCTATAATCTAGTAATCTACACTCCGTCTTGTTTTTGACACTTTTGTTGTGCGTATTTAATCCCATATCCATTAATTCATTTGACTCGTACAGTGACCGATAACTGTCCAATATGAGTAAATATTTTCCGGAACACACTAAAACTAGTACGTCAATTTGTGGCGTATACACAAATATTAAAAGTTGTCAAAAAACCGTTATCCGGCGCTTGTACCCCGGTACACAGAAATATCGGCCATAGCCGTTTAATCGGCCGATTATTTTTTGATTTCGGCTCCCATATATCGGATCGGTGAATCGGCTTTTTTCTGGTATCAACTCATCCCTAGAACTGATCATTTTAAGAGCAGTCCACTAGTCTACGCTATTGATAAACACAATAATAATATGTAATGTTCTTATTAGATGTAAATAGATATATTTTTTTTTCAAATAGTTTTAATAACATTTTAATAGATTTAGTATAGTACCTACATAAATACATGACAATTAAGTTAATATCTTATTCCATGGGTTTTATATTTCGGAGAACATTAATTTTACCAGACGAAATGATTTAGATCTTGCTCTCACTGAGGGTGTTGAAAATTGTTGGATTGAAATCCAAAGAATTAAACAAAAAAACGTAGTCATCGGATGCATTTATAGGCACCCATCGCAAAATCGCGAGACTTTTCACGAAGCTATCGAGGCAAAATTAAACTTATTAACTGATGAAAACTGTGAGGTTTACATAACAGGTGATATAAACATAGACTTCTTAAAATACCATACAGACAATAAAACATCAGATTATCTTGACATGTTACTCAATCTCGGTTTTTTGCCAATAATTACTAAAGCTACCCGAATTACCGACCATACTGCCACACTCATTGACCATATCTATACAAATAAATTGTCCCCCAAAAGTGGTTAAATCTGGTGTCTGCCTTGTGGGTATATCAGATCATTTGCCTGTTTTTTTGTACCATTGAAAACAAACTTCCATTTATACAAGAAAGGAAATACTATTGAAACTTCTCTAAATTTAACATTTTGTTAGCACAGATGTTAATCAAAGTATGAATGGTATTACAAATGCTTTAAAAGAAGTCACTAATAAACATGCCCCAATTAGGAAAACTTCTAATGCCCAACAAATGTTATTAAAGAAGCCTTGGCTATCAAAGGGTTTATTATTATCAAAAAAGAAGACAAAAAATGTTCAAATCTTACTTTCTCAGTAGAGATCCAGAGAAAGTAAACCAATACAAAAGATATAACAATAAACTCAATAAATTAAAAGAACTAGCAAAGAAAAACTACTTTATTGCTCAATTTAACCATAAACAAAATATTAAAGCCACCTGGGGCTTAATTGGTATGTTAATTAATATGAAAAAGAAATCAACAATCTTTACAAATAAACTCTTCTATAAAAATAGATGCTATACTGCTAAACAAGACATATGTTATCACTTAATTCGCACTTCATAAATGTCGGTCCAGATTTTGCTGCTCAAATACCAGATTGCAATGATAAAAATCCGGTTCAGTTTATTAGACGGTCATTTAAGGACAGTTTTATGTTCCGTGCAATGTGTGTTCACGAAGTGCGCCACATGTTGCATGGACTAAACCAACAAATCATCAATTGATATCCCACAAAAATGTATTAAACTTGCTGCTGATCACATTAGTGATGCACTTACAGCGGTGTTCAATAACTCTCTTAAACAGGGAATTATGCCTGACATTTGAAAGATATCTAGAATAACGCCTGTAGATAAAGGTGGTGATATCACTGACCCATCAAATTTTAAACCTATTTCTACGCTATACTCTTTTGCTAAATCTTCGAAAAGTTAGTGTACTCACAAATTTTGGGTAATCTGGAAAAACGTAACATTTTAAGTAAGTTTCAATTTGGTCTTTGAAAAGGTAGATCAACAGAACATGCTATAGTGGAGATAACTGATAATTTTAAGAAAGCGATTGATAAAAACCTTTACACGTGCGGAGTATTCTTAGACTTTTCCAAAGCGTTGTAATAAATCAGTATATATCTTTATATAGCTGGGAGCTAACTAGAAAACGTCAGTTTATTTAGCTTCTAGACACCTTAAACATAGTATATATATACCATACGTGGCACATCAATTTATATATTGTATATATTTTTCTCCATTTTGTAAATAATTAATGCTTAAAAAGGTGTAATAAAGTTATTGTTGTTTATTGTTGTTGTATACAATTAAAACCCAGTATTACGATTAAAAATATATCATCTAAATGTATCAATTAATAATCGCTATATATGTATTTGAAACACAGTTCCATTACAACTGAAGCGAAATCTGCATGCAAAAGGCCATAACAGACCTGATAATCGTAGAAAATTGGCTTATGGAAAGGCGTTAGCATGTTTACTACTTACGGCATTAGTTTTTTTTTGTTTCACAAGGATCGATATTGGGACCTTTGTTGTTCTTCACTACACACACAAAAATCTCACATCTTGTAGCAAGTCTGCCAACAAGTTGTCAACAAATTGTCTTCGCATTGCTTGTCCCAAGTTGTCAATAAAAGTTTGGAACAAACTGTTAACAACTTGTAAAAACCTTGTTGATATTATCAGACTTATTACAAGGTTGTTCCAACAAGTCCGATACAATCATAATATAACAAAACATTCTTGTTATGTCATGATTGTATCGGACTTGTTAGAACAACTTTGCCACAAGCCTGATAATGCCATCAAGCTTGTTACAAGTTGTTAACAGCTTGTTTCAAACTTGTTACAACAACTGGGAACAAGCAATGCGAACACAACTTGTCGACAGCTTGTGAACAGATTTGTAACAACTTGTTTGCAGACCTGTAACAACTTGTGCGTTTATTAGGTTTTTACGTGTGTACATTGGATGATTTGCCTTTACATTTGAACGATACCAAAATTGATCTGTATGCTGATGACGCGACGAGTTTGTCGGTTAACCGAGTCAAATCCGAGTCCGAGTCAAATCCGAGCCCGAGTCAAATGTCTGAGTCATAGTTTAATCGCTGGTCTTTGCAGTTCAATGACTTATGCACCTATCAATGTTTTCCCCCTGAGGGGGTGGGGCGGGGGGTGCGGGCAACCCAGGGGAATTTTGACATTTTTAAAATTTTGTCGTCAAAATCCCCACTGTTGGGCAAGGAACGACTGTCAAAATTCCCCACTATATTCCTAAGATAGCAAGGCACACAGATGTTTTCCAATGCGAACATACAGTCTATACTGGTTTAAACTTGGTAAAAATTGAGACACTGTACAAAAAATACCTTTTTCGATGAAAGTTGATCTTGCTTCTCCGCCATACTTGTTACCAGGCCTTTTAATGTCAAAACCGCGCAAACTTTCGAGATGACGGATGTCAAAATTTCCCGACTCTGGGAGTCGATGCATAGGTCAAATTCCCTTCCCCGGTGCTTCATAGTGTGGTCAAAGTCCCCTGGGTCGCCCGCACCCCCCTCAGGGGGAAAACAATGATAGGTGCATTAGTACCCTAATCCTAACCATAATCCCACTCCTAACTTACCCTTACCTTACTCAACTGTGAATTTTATTCATTTTCGGAGTTTGTCGGTTACTGACCGACTCAAATCCGAGTTCGAGTCAAATGTCCGAGTCATTGTTTAACTATCTTTGTCGGTAAAATGACTTAGTACCCTAAACCTATTCCTAACCCTACTCGACTGTGAATTGTCTTCACTTTCGTCTTTTTTTTACCCGACTCCGGGCGTTTGACTCGGGCTCGGGACTGACTCGGGTTTTGACTCGGTAAATGGATTTACTCATGACGCGACACAATATGTGGATATAACTTACAGGATGTGGAACATAAACTGAATGATGATTTGCAACCAGTGTTGAAGTGGTCAGAAAACGACAGCACAGGATGGTAGTATAAAACACGGAGAAACTGAAAACCATGGTTATATATTATATATATTAGAGACAAAATTATAAAATACAAAATCTCTTACCTTTACCGCGTTAAAATCAGCTTCAAAAGTCGAAATTCGTTTGAAATTGTTATTCCTCTCATGCATTTTACGTTTCATATCCGAAATTAAAAGAAAAATAATTGCTGCATGGATCTTGAAAAAAATGTTTTATCAATGCATGTTCTCAAAGAAAGATATGTAAAGAAATGTGGAAAAGACATTTGTGGATCAGAATTGTACACGTTAATAGTTTCATTTTGCTCAAAACACGATATTTTTTCAAAAATGATTACAAGATAGGTTTACCAAAGCAAAATCCGCGCTAAAAACGTCAATAAATATCGGGCTGTTGTGATTTTGCTGTTACTCGTAATGAGCGTCAAGATGGCGCCATATTGGGTAAAGGTGGTATATTGTGATTGTCATATCTTCTTAACGAGTTCGGTGATCCCGACTTTTTTGTGTGATTTTACTTTAAGTATAAGCCGATTTAAAAGGCTCCACCTCGATAACCTCATTTAAGAACCGCCTCGAAAAACTGAATTGTAATGACTTGTTTGTTCTGTCTAGTTATTTTCATTTGTAATTTAATTATTTTTAGTATATGTTTACTTGTCCGAGGACCCCTCTGTAAACCACTACTTGTGAAGTTGGTATCCTCATTAAAAATTATGTTCATCATAAGGTGTAAAAAAAAAATACCTGTGGTTCCGGTTCCCGACCGACCCTATTCTTTTTCTGCCGACCCTATTATTTTTTCAGCGCGATTGACCGTACGACCTTATTTTCTCCAAGTGGTTGCAGCTGCTCATACAGCGCGCCAAAATGGCGTCTATTGTCACACTAATTATTGAACCAAATTGCCTAAATTCGTCCATAGGAAATACGCATCTCTAGTTAATATTGATGTCGAGACTCCACTGCAAATCGCCCAGCAAAAAACCGCCAAAACCATGAAAAAAATATTCAAAAAAAATTTATTTCCGACCTACCGACCCTAATTTTTTCACGATATGAAACCGGAACCACAGGTATTCTTTTTTACGCCTAAACTCCATGCCTGGGAAGTTTCAGCACATTCTCATTTCGGGAACAATTACTGCGGAATTACCTTAACTTGATCCTAAGAGCGTCCGCTTACAGTAGCTTCGACAGCTTTATCTCGGAGTAAACGTACCTGAGCGTCAAAACCATCAGAGCCTCTGTTATAACACTGTACAACTTCTGGAACAAAAGCTGAACAACCTGCTGATCCACCAGCGCATCTTAACTGAAGAACAGGACTACTTCTTCTTCCTGTTGTCATTTTACCTTGATGTAGCGTCAACACCTGCACATCACTAAGACGTACTTTCTCACCTCCTTTTAAATAATACAAAACAAAAAATATTGTTTTTCAATGCTGAATAATATGTTCAGGCAATAGTAAAGCCCTGGGCAAACTAGGAAACATTGTTGTGGAAACATTTGTGACCTCGATGTTTCCTCAAATGTTTCCCTGTTTGCTCACCCGTGGAAACATTGTTGCGGAAACAAAATTTGCTTCCCGAGAAACAAATATTTTTCCTAACGAATTGATGATTCCCCTTATTAAAGGCATACCGAATGGTTTTCCGTGCAGGATTGTGTGATGCATGCACGAGGGATGTCGCGAGACTTTCGGAAAGCGTAAAAATACTCGAGCCGCAGGCGAGTGTATTTTTACGCTTTCCGAAAGTCGAGCAACATCCCAAGTGCGTGGATCACGCTATCCTGCTTGGAAAACCATTTGGTAATTGTTTTATAGAATAACTACAGTGAAACAATGACATTTTGTGAATCCAGCGAAAATCCCGCGAAGGCATTATAATTCCTCGAATCCTCGTGCAGGATAGCCTGATCCTGCACGGCTATTGACCAATCAAATTGCGTGTTTCACTGTAGTTATTATATAATACGTTTTCGTAGCGCTTTGCATTGTGGTTATAGTGGTATCACTGATATTCAAGATGGCTTATCTTTGTCCTGACTCGTGCAAGAACTTTTAAAAAAGCTAGGGTCAGGTGCACGATAGCCAACAGCAAACTATTCGCGAAAACATTCAATATTTTCATTGGAGGCCGCTATCTTTATCAGTGATACCACTATAACCACAATGCAAAGCGCTACGAAAACGTAATAAGGGGAATCATCAATTCAGAAACATTTGATGTTTCCTTATGTTTCTCACTAATGTTTCCTAGTGTTTGCCCACTCTTGGAAACATGGCGCAACATTGGCAGGAAACAATGTTTCCGCAACAATGTTTCCTAGTTTGCCCAGGGCTTAAGGTCCGTTTACTCTAGTGGGACGAGTAGATGATTTATGAACGTTCTGAGTACACATGTACCACTGATGTACGCTAGCTCTTCTAAACATTCACAACTCACCCACTCGTTCACGTCTATCAAAAGATGAAAATCGAACCTAAAATCGCAGTAAAAATTGCCGCCAAATGGGGCTTTGACTTTTGCATCCAATAGACCTTTCCCCTTTTGAGTGAAATTTTGATCTAGACAAGTCTGGACGAAAATTTCATCACAGCTTGAAAGAGCATCACAAAATTAGTAATATTCCGAAGTTTCGTTGCGAAATGTTGTAAAATGCGGATGAATATAGCCTTGCGAAGTTTGCCGTTTTTCAGTCATTTTGCATTATAACGGGAAATTGATATATCAATTTCCCATTTGTAATACAAAATGATATAAGTAATATCCAATCCTTTTCATTGTTGCATTAATCCTACTATTATTGAAAACAAAGGAATGTCTTGGAAGTTTAATTTGGCGAGATATTTTTGCGATTTTGTTCTCTTACTCGCCTATGTGATTGAGCGATCCGTAACTCAGTCTCACAAATATATAGGAAAGCCAAAGGCCTGATAATTTAAACAGGTGAGTGATGACTTAATAAAAAATGCGTTCCTTTCAGGTGGCTATATTAACCTAAACACAGTCAGAGTCGCCGCCTGTAGTGTTCCCTTTATAGTACACTACATAATATTCACTTCATAACGGTGCGTTATATATCCTTCAAAATTCAGAATGACTATGTAGCAGAATTTGACAAAAAGATTAAAAAATCCTTATAGATGAGAGCATTTTTCGTTCATAACGTATTGCCATTGGTGGAAATATAATTATCAGTGTGGGGGGAGGGGGACTACCCGCTGAGACACTGCCACCGGTTAGACTGAAATTGCAGCTGTACAAACTTGTCACGCAAGAGCAGTTGTTATTGTTTTGGCGCGCTTTCGTTGCTACAATTTTGTGGTAAATGTATAGTACTCTCCTGAATCGTATAAAGTGCCTCAGCCTTCGACCTTCTAAAACGTTCTTTATTTTGAGGCAATATTTCCATACAATTGTTTCAATGGGCTAGTGCTTAATTGTCTGCTTCCATTTCGACGAGCTAAATCTAAATTCAGGAGTCACTATATACAGTACACAAGGACAGTACAACATGTTTTTGCGTTACACATAGTCATAGCTCGAAATGGTTTCGAAATCCTACTATGGAAATAAGTATGACTCCTGGAAATGGTGATCAAAATTCCAAAACGTCTTCCAAAAAGACCAAAATCATAAAAATTCCCTTCATAATAACTGCTTCAAATTTAAAATTTACCACTGACAACATGTCATGACAAAAGTACATACCAGTAGCTCTCAGAGCCAAAAATCTTAACAAGATTCGCTGCTGTGACTTAGTTGACAGAAACAACAAATAGAAAGGATCACTGCCATTTCTGAAGGACGTTATACACCACTGTGGTCACTGTCATCATATGGCAATAAACGTCAGAGAATCATAGCTAATATAACCATGAGGCTGCTAATTGTGTGACAATTTTGCACTGTAACAGTTCACTCTTCAGTCTACCTTAGGCTAGTAAATATATAACATGTACAGGAAATTCTATTTCTTAATAATGAATTCTATTTCTTAATATAAATTCTATTTCTTAATAATGAAATATTACTATAACGAAAAATACTTTTTATCTCTGGGGACTAATACATAAGAGTGCACTGCACATCCTCCAAAACAAGGTAATGTTTTGGAGGATGTGCAGTGCACTCTTATGTATTAGTCCCCAGAGATAAAAAGTATTTTTCATTAGTAATATTTCATTATTAAATCATTCTGTCCAAAGAAAGATGTTGGATTATTGTAACTTTAAGTTAAGAACTTGACTTGAATCAAGTCTAATAAGAAACTAAGACAACTTGACATCAGTTAATAGCCTGTGTCACAGACTTAACTCAGTCAACAGCTCCAGCATGCTGCCATGCAGCCAGCATGCATTCCATGTACAGGTTTACAACATTTCCATGCCCTACAGCACATTGTTTTTTATTTTTATCACCATGTTACGGTCAAAAGAGGCTGGGTTGTCATTTGGGTCCAGAATAAAGAAAAATGTAGTGTGCAAGTAACATAATTATATTAACACACAAATTTAGCTGAAAATATATTATTTTTTCTTTGTTCTTGACCCGGTCACAACCCTCTCCCTATAACCCTAATGGTCTTGTGACTGTTATTAAACCATCATAATAGACACCAGCCTATAGTTCAACAAAGATAATCATGCCTAATATATAGTTCAACACAGCACAACCTCAATTCAAAAACTGAACTTATAATGTGCCAGATCTAATGCAGCTAGTTGGCTGAGAAAATTAAGCTCCATCTTACACAACTCTAATTCCCATGCATATATGCTGACGGTTCAAATTGAGGTTGCATGCATTGTGTTGAACTGTAGGCATGACAATATGTTGAAATTAATGCTGTTTACACTGTATCGGATAGATTTCCATAGCGACATGAAAAATACCTATCCGTGCCTTTTAGTAATGCTATTTTCAGAGCAATAATTGCAACCAGAAAGATGTTATATTCTGTACCGGATCTAGGTGCTATTTTGCGCCGGTATATATGGAAAGCTAGCAAGTATAGTGTAAATGTAGGCTAAGTCTGGTGCTACAATGATATATGTGCATCCCTGTATTTTTTGTATCCCCATACTCATATAACTAGGGTTATAGGATTGTTTCTGGGGATACCTACTGTACAGGTATATCCCTAGTGACATGACTGATGGGGATACGCTATATATATACACAAAACTTGGGGATGCACATGTCACTGTGACACAGGCACATCATAAGAGCAACATTTAGGCTTGCCTTGGGGACGAGTGGCATTTTTATGTTTATCTGCATCATTGCGTGAAGAATAGTCTAGGCCTATTAACTATATCCATAGTCAATCCAGATATCCTATCAATGTTTATTACTGCATGTGTATAGCAATAATAACAACAAATGTTCTAGCTTTAACTTCTCCTGAACCAAATTAAGGTATAGACTAACACATGTCGATGACAAACAGCTGAGCAGCATGAATTCAGAATTTCTGTTTCAATACTCACCAAATACGAATTTGGAAAGGAGACAAACACACAACACAAGGAGTGAACGAATTTGTCGAGAATCCATATTAAAGACCACAGAATTTTAACGAATTCAAGTTAACCAACGGAAGACCGAACAGTTCGTATACAGTTTCAAAATTCTTGAATTTAGAACAAAACGAAACTAATCAAAATATCACAGTACTGCATCTCAGCATCTGCTCGTTGTTTATATTAGTCAGCCGAATTACGTCATAATTTATATTTTTACCGTTATGAAGTCGGTTTGATAGCTGGCAAGCTACTATTGGCCGACGTTTTTTATTTGGGTTTTTGCTTATTCATGGTAAAAGCTCCATAACAAATATTTCATCAGCTGCAAAATTTAAATTTTAATTATCCTTTTGGAATTGAACTTTCATATAAATAATTATTTTTTATAACTACCAATTGCCGAAGAACAAATATTTTAAAATAATTTAATATTCTGTGATGGCCAAGACCCATTACGTCAAGTAATATCATTATACTGGCTCGTTGTATATAATATATATAGAGTCAGCCAGTTGAAGTCCACTAAATTAACCGCTACCATTAACGAATCACGTGCGTTTGATATATTCGATCAACCAGATGCGCACTAAGCCATGCAGTGGTGGAAGTCAAATCTGAACCTCTATCACGCCTCTCGCAGCCTGCAAGACAAAATAATCTCCAACGGTTAATCGTGCCAGTTCTTGAAATGAATGCCAGTGTACACACGTAAAAACGCACAAGTTGTCACAGGTCTGCAACCAAGTGGTCACAAATCTGTTCACAAGCTGTCAACAACTGATGTCAACAATTAAGTTGTGTTCGCACTACTTGTTCCCAACAGTTGTAACAAGTTGGGAACAAGCTGTTAAGTGTTAACAACTTGTAACAAGCTTGATGGCATTATCAGACTTGTAGCAAGGTTGTTCCAACAAGTCCGACAACTGCATTATATAACAATATTGTTGCAACCTTGTGTCGTCATAGCTAGAACCTTGTAACAAGTCTGATAAGTCTGATAATACCATCAAGCTTGTTACTATACAATTACTTTATGGTTTCCGTGTTTGGGTGGTCTGATCCAAACACGCGGGAATGTTGCAAGAGTTAAGAATAGCGCGCGAAACACGAGCCGAAGGCGAGTGATTTTGCGCGCTTTTCTTAACTCGAGCAACATTCCCAAGTGTTTGGATCAGGCCATCCAAACACGGAAACCATAAAGTAACTGGTTTTTATAAAATAACAACTTCCGTGTTAAAATTTCACTTTAAAAAACGTTCACTTTAAATTTCGTGTTTGGATGGCCTGATCCAAACACGGGTTTCGACCAATCAGAGCACGCGTTATATACATGTTATTTTATAAAAGTTGTTTACACTTGTTTCAAACTTATTCCAACAACTAGGAACAAGCAGTGCGAACACAACTTGTCGACAGCTTGACAGAATTGTAACAACTTGTTTGCAGACCTGTAACTACTTGCGAGTTTTTACGTGCGTAGCAAGCCTGTAAACAAGTCATCAACAAGTTACTTGTGTTCGCATTGCTTGTCCCAAGTTGGCAACAAGTTTGGAATAAGCCGTTAACAACTTGTAACAAGCTTGATGGCATTATCACTTGTTGCAAGGTTGTTCCAACAAGTCCGATAAAATCATGATATAATAATACTGTTACAACCTTGTGTTGTCAACCATGTAACATTCGTGTTATATCATAACTGTATCAGGCTCGTTAGAACAACCTTGTAATAGGTCTGATAATGCCATCAAGCTTGTTACAAGTTGTTAAACAGCTTGCAATGTTCCAAACTTTTTGTCTAAGACTTGTCGACAGTTCGTGTGAATCCCTACGCACGTAAAAACGCACAAGTTGTCACAGGTCTGCAAACAAGTTGTTACAAATATGTTCACAAGCTGTCGACATGTTGTGTTCGCACTGCTTGTTCCCAGTTGTAACAAGTTTGAAACTAGCTGTTAACAACTTGTAACAAGCTTGATGGCATTATCAGGGTTGTTGATGGCATTACAAGGTTGTTGCCGTTGTTCTAACAAGTTTGATACATTCATGATATATCAAGAATGTTATAAGGTTGACGGCACAAGGTTGTAACAATATTGTTACACCATGACTGTATCGGACTTGTTGAAACAACCTTGCAACAAGTCTGATAATATCAACAAGGTCGTTACAAATTGTTAACAGCTTGTTCCAAACTTGTTGACAAATTGGGACAAGCAGTGCGAACACAACTGTAGTGTTTATGTGTTGTTATAAATCAGAAATACAACACGATGCAATGGATTAACTTTGGTTATAAAATAACCTAGCACACTAGACCAAACAGCAAGCATACAAAGAAGAAGAACATGTTTAATTATGCATGCACTTATATAGTCTAGCCCTAATTATATATACAACATAATGAATATATTACAACTAGTTGACGGCTTGTTGGCAGACTTGTTGCAAGGTTGTTCCAACAAGTCCGATACAGCGTGCTGGCGTGTGTACGCGCGCAACAATCTCACATATTGTAGCAGGTCTGACAACAAGTTTGGAACAAGCTGTTAACAACTTGTAAGTTGTAACAACCTTGCTGTATTTACCGGACTTGTTGCAAGGTTGTTCCAACATGTCCAATACAGTCATTGTATAACAATATTGCTATAACCTTGTGTAGTCAGCCATGTAACATTCTTGTTATATCAAACTTGTTAGAACAACCTTGTAACAAGTCTGATAATGCCATCAAGCTTGTTACAAATTGTTAACAGCCTGTTTCAAACTTGTTACAACAGGAATTTACTTTTTTTGTCTAGATAAAAAATTAGTCTAACATGCAAGTTGTCGACTGAGTGTTCGCAGTCACGCATGCGGACATTTCAAGCTCTAACTAAATAAATATTTGATGAGTGTCCCAATTATGTTTTAACTCAAATAGAATACATGAATGTCGGAAAACCATAAAGAACAGCTAATCAATGTCCTTCTTGTCACAACATTCCATTGTCTTCTATCTACAACTAGATCTTCATTGATGTTATTTCTGATCATATCTTCTTTCTTAATCCAGCTATCGTTTCCGCGATCTACCTCGTGGTCGCTTTCCATCTTCCGTTATTCATTGCCCATCGAGTGACATGACATTCTCAATCTTGGCTTCCTTGATTTTTTCTCCCATTTGATCCACCTTCAACTGTCTTATGGTCTTCATTCGTCCTCCAATCTTTTGTGTTGTGTTGTGTTGTGTTGTGTTGTCACGGCTATTACTATGTCGGACCATTGTTTGATATACTTGGCTTGTCAATCCCACCATCAGTATTTTTCTGGTAACCAACAATTTTCAAGCCATTCGGTTGTTTGGTGGGTTTCACTTAGCGCTACTGTGCTGGATATGCTGGGCATTAAGCAAGACAAAAGCCTGTATTCTAAAAGCTTATTCACACTCAAAGAGTGGAGGTTCAATCTGAGCTTCCCTGGAGTGTCAATGCTGGTTTTTGAATAGCTGAAGGGTTAGTGTCGTTTCTTGCTATGTGACTACTCACTCTCCAGCTATTCAAAAAGAGCATTTGGAAGGGAAGCTCAGGTTGAACCTCAACTTTTTTAGTGTGCTTCTACAATACAGGCGATAATCTGGTACGGGAATGTTACAAGGAACACATTATTTACGTATGTTCTACACTTTTAATCACGAAGAACTACCGTTAATAGGAACTTCAATCAAGCAGGGCGAAAGTGTAACGAGGACGGCAATTGACCATTTGCGTAATAGACTAAATTTTGAACTAAACAAGTCTAGACAAAAATTTCATCACAGCTTGAAGGAGCATCACAAAATTAGTAATATTCCAAAGTTTCGTTGCAAAATGTTGTAAAATGCGGAAAATATAG